CGGGAACGAACCTCCCGCGGGCGCCCGAGGTCCCCGCGGGCGGAGCTGCCACCCCCGTCTACGAGCCCCTGCCGACGCCCCAGCCCGTCAGGGACACCCCGGAGGTCGCTGCGGCCAAGGCAGCTTTCCTCAAAGCCTACAATGAAGCAGCCATCGCCGCCGCCGAGGCTCCCGATATAGATTAATGGAGCAAGCGACAGGTCCTTCTGCCTCCCGAAGGCTTTTTCCTCTTGCCGGCTACCTCACCCTTGTCCTCCCCAGCAGGAGGCGTCTCGTGCCCGCAGAACCCCCGCCGTAGAGCTCCTGCGCCGCCTCGACTCATTACCAGAGAAAATAAGTGTATGACGTAATAATCCTTTCAGCCACAAATTACTACACGATAATGATAATATTCAATCACAAACACAAAGCCTTCGACAGCGTATTAAATAAACGGGATCTTTGAAGCGCCATCAAAAAGACCCGGATGGAAGTAAATCCAACGAATTACGTACAAGAAAAGGCGTGTTTTCAAGGACACAATCTCATTCACGCACGCAAGGAAAAAAATGCTATCGACAAGGCCAAGGACAACTTCGTCACGGAATCCCATACTTAAAGAGGCGGCCAGATGTTGACGGCTTGATTAAACCTAAGTGAGAGTGAAAATTGTAAATACACAAGTTTCCCCTTTCATCCGCTTTTATTATTGTTTTGTCCCTTCTACCGCGCATTGCTTTTGATAGATTCATTAGTAAATCATAAATATTTGAAGATATCATATTACACTTAATAAAATTTGATTCTGAAGTTCTATAGAAACAGTATAGAAATACTAATCAAGACAGGACTTGTAAATAAATTCAAATTATACAAAAAAAATTCAGAATAAGCATAATTTACATCAGTAAGAACACAAAATGTATAATCCCGTGATCTATTATTGAAGAACGTTAACTAAACTATCATGTATTCATTATACTTTATTTTTTTATAAATAAAAATGAATTACTCACAAAGCATAATGAAGGCATGTCACTCTTTCCACCACAGTATCTTTGTACTGAGTTTTTTAATTCATTATTTTTAATACCTATAACTCAAGAGGTTATAAACATCAACCTACCCGCAACTTTCTCCAACGCATTTTGAAAAAAACAAACCAACTGAAAAACTCTAGTTAAAATGATGATAATGTTAGTAATTATATCAATAACATAAATGAAAATAACGATAATGATAATATTATCATTACCGTTATTGTTATCATTATCTTTATTATTATCTTCATCATCATTATTACTATATTAACAATAATGATGCTAATGAAAATAACAATAACAATAATAATAATAATAATAATAATAATGATAATAATAATAATAATAATAATAGTAATAATAATAATAATGATGATAATAGCTGTAATAACTACAACAATAATAATAATGGATAATTGAAGTGAAAATCATAATAATAACAGTGATAATAACAATAATAATAATCTTTATAAATATTGTTATTATTATTCCTACTACTATCATTATCAACAACAACAGTGATAATGACATCAACAATACCAGTAACAACAACAACACCCATAATAACATTGACTCCATCGACTATTTAGAATATAAAAAAAAACAATAAACACCAAACTCCCGGCTAATACTTTCCTCCAACGCGCTATAAGCAAGACCTGAACAAAAGTCATTATAAACGCCTCGATCGCCTTTCCGTGATCTTAAACCCTTTCACACGACAATCAGCAGAAGTTCTTTTATTAGAAGCGGTGACTCATATCCGCAATGGAGTCGACCTTGACAGCAGACACGAACACTTACTTGCTAGCTTTTTCCGAGAGTGATTTTTTTTCTACGTCATTTGTTTTGCGTGTTTAGAAAGGGGGGTGGGTGGTGGGGGGTGGAGGATGGGTGTGGAGGAAAGGGGGGGGGGGTGAATGGGGGTGAAGGAGGAGGTAATTATGGATGGCTATTTTTGGAGCGTAAGGGATGGTGTGGAAGCTCTGGGAATGACGGAAGGGATGTAGAGATTCGATGTGTATGTATATTTACGGACATACATGAATACACAAACACACACACACACATATATATATATGTGTGTGTGTGTGTGTGCATATACGCACACACACACACACACACACACACACACACACACACACACACACACACACACACACACACACACACACGCACACACACACACACACACATATATATATATATATATATATGTATCAAAGTCAAAGTTGGCCCCATGTCTATGTGAACGTAGAGGGCATGTTCGCAGAGAAACATATGTATATACATGCATATATGTATACATATATCTATTTCACTTTTTTTCTCTCTCTCACTATATATATATACATATATATATATATATATATATATATATATATATATATATATATATATACATATATGTATATATATAGTTTATAGTATATAGTATACACACATAAAGGGAGGGATAAATAGATCGAGAAAAAGAGAAAGTGATAGAGAAAGAAAGAGAGAGAGAGAGAGAGAGAGAGAGAGAGAGAGAGAGAGAGAGAGAGAGAGAGAGAGAGAGAGAGAGAGAGAGAGAGAGAGAGAGAGAGAGAGAGAGAGAGAGGAAGACAAACAGATAAACGGAAAGAGGTAGATGTATGTATTCACATACACTCACATATGTATATATATATATAAACACATACATGTATATAGATACATATATATATACACACACGTAATGCATATATAAATATACGTATATGTATATTTATAAATATATACATATATATATATATATATATATATATATATATATATATATATATATATATATATATGTATATATATATATACACATATATACGTATATATATATATATATATATATATATATATATATATATATATATATATATATATATATATATATATATATGCATACATACATAGATACACACACACACACACACGCACACACGCATTTATGTATATATATATGTTTATATATATATATATATATATATATATATATATATATATATATATATAGATATATATATATATACATACATACATACATACATACATACACACACATACGTGTATGTATCCATGGAGGGAGAGAAAAAAAAAGCAGAGGGACGCAGGCAAAGAAGAACCACTACTATATGCAGTAGGTTACTCTAAAAAAGAACATCACAGAGGTAACAAAACCTGTATTTATTTTCAGATTTAAATGCTCACATTAAATTAATCCAACACAGTTAATTCACCCACGTAATGGCAAGGAGATAGAAATAGACAGACACATACAAGATCAAGAGTTAGAAATCTAGACAGGGAAGAGGCGAAGAGGGAAGAGGAACATGAGGGTGTATGCATTGCATCAAAATCTGTTTTTACTTGATAAAAGGCAGCGCTTTCTTACAGCCATTAGGAATGTAAGCACAAGTTTAGTAGTCCACAGCTTTGGTCAGCAGAGGGAGAGCCAAGTGGCTCCTGTAGCTGGTGACGGATGGAACTCTGTGGTGTCCATAGGGGAAGCTCGTAAGTGGGGAGAAGGCAGGGGCCACGGAATGAGCATGAAAAAAATCACTTCATTATCTCGCAAAAAACAGACATCTCAAGAAGAAGAAAAGCACCTGAAACTCTTCAATGGAAATCACAAAGGCATGGTTTTAAAGCAATATACATTGATTTCTGGAATCAAGTTATTTCTATTGGCCAAGGAAAGCTAGAATTCCTCAAGTCAGACCACGCCATCTAAGGCTACTTTCATCTTCGGTCAATACTTTTATTTAAGGTGATATATATATGTGTGTGTGTGTGTGTGTGTGTGTGTGTGTGTGTGTGTGTGTGCGTGTGTGTGTGTGTGTGTGTGTGTGTGTGTGTGTGTGTGTGCGTTTGAAAAGAAACAGCCACGACATGAAAAGAGATTGAGCACAGTATTTCGAACTCGTCAAGTTCTTCTTCAGACGAAGCAAATGGCTGAAATGGATCCATTTCTGTTATATGCTTCGCTAGAAGAGGAATTTTGACGAGATCGAAACGCTGTGCTCAATATCTTTTCATGTCGTGGCTGTTTCCTTTCATTTTTGTGTACACATCACTGTGTTTGCTTAGGTTCACACACACACACACACACACACACACACACACACACACACACACACACACACATATATATGTGTGTGTGTGTGTGTGTGTGTGTGTAAATATATACGAACACACATATACGTACACACAGATATATAAATATAATGATAGATATTTTTGTGTGTATTTCATTGTGTATGTGTGTGTGTGGGGGGGGGGGCGGCATAATGTGGATGAAACAAACGCCCATTCTCTGCATTATCCTGAAAGATTAACACAGTCCTGGACCGAATGAACTGCCTGTGATATGCGAGTAATCGCGTCATAAATTTAATGCATGCAAAGGATATTTTAGAGAATATATATTTTTACTTATATATATCTTCTCGATCACACACACACATACAGATGGATGTTTTTTTCTTATTGGCAAGTATCTCTCTCTCTATTTATATACAAACACACATATACGTATGTAAATATATATATAATATATATATATATATATATATATGTATATATATATATATATATATATATATATATATATACATACATATATATATATATATATATATATATATATATATATATATATATACATATGTGTATGATTTCTCTCTATATGTATATATACAAATATCTGTGTGTGTTTGCGTGCGTGTTTGTATGTATATATGTACATATGTACTTTTGGTCACTTCTGGTTTAGTACTTCACTAAATCTACATTATGTAAGAATTGTTCTGTGTAACGTTTCCTGTTGATAATCTTTATGTGCAACATTTGTGAATGTACACTTAAAATCACCAGTTTATTCCCTAACTACACTGTTCTCTCATATGGTATCTTTTCCTCAATTCTGTGTAAAATACAGTTTATATAAAGCGTATAAAATCCACCATGTTGAGTTGAGTCCATCGTTTATTGATATATTAATTTGTCCTGAAATTAATGTCGTTTGCATTCACGCAAGAGAACCTGGGCCTTCTTTTAGTAGTCCACAGCTTTGGTCAGCAGAGGGTGAGCCAAGTGGCTCCTGTAGCTGGTGACGGATGGAACTCTGTGGTGTCCATAGGGGAAGCTCGTAATTGGAGAAAAGGCAGGGGCCACGGCATGAGCAGCATGGACCACAGGGGACACAGCATGAGCAGCATGGACCACAGGGGCCACGGCATGAGCAGCATGAACCACAGGAGACACAGCATGAACCACAGGGGCCACCGCAGGGGCAGCATGAACCACAGGAGTCAACTGGGACACAGTGCTCAGAGGACCAGTGGAGGCTGGGAAGGTGCCGTAGGAGCGCTTGTGACGAAGTACGTTCACGAAGGGATGGGCCACGTGGCTCCTGTAGCTGGCGAAGGAGGGGACTGCGTGATGTCCGTAGGAGAAACCCCCGAGAGGAGAGGCGGCCGAAACAAAGGTAGGAGCAGCGTGAACCACAGGAGCCACGTGGGACACGGTGGCCAGGGGGCCAGTGGAGGCGGGGTAGCTGCCGTAGGAGCGCTTA